TAGATTACTCATACATGTTCAAACCCACCCATAAGCTCAAATGTAGGTTGCAGAAAAACTATGACATGTCATAGAAATCCTCCCCTTAATAATAATAACTACCTTTGAACTGCAGAGCTGGAAGGGACCCTATGGATCATTAAGCCTCTTTCAAGGAGATGCAGTAGGGAATTGAACCCATCCTCTGGCTCACAGCCAGATGCCTAAAAGCTATAGAGCTATCCAGTAGTCAGAGATCATTCACCAGAATGACTTCTAGTTGGTTTCAGACAATCAGCAATATGGGTCTACGTTCCTCAAAACTTGCCTATTTTCAGTAAATATACCAAATGCCTACTAGTCTCCCTCATCAGCTCCCCCATCCAAAGAACTCTCTCATTTTAAAGTCTGGTTGGTTGTCAGTCGCAGCTAGAGTAGATCTATTGACTAAGCATTTAAATGTTTTTAAAGCATGGTGGGTTTAGGCAAGATTTGTTTAAATAGGGAAATATCTTCAGAGGCATTTGTGTTATTCTTCTGTGATTATAAAAACTTAATTTTGAATAGATGGATGTCACCTAGTACTGTATGTCTCACTTTTCAGAGCCTGGAAAAGATGTCGTTTAATTACACCTACCAGAATCCCCCAGCCAGCCAGTGACCAAGTTTTGCACTTTTAACCATTTGAGGATGCTTTTATAAGAATGGTTAATTATGGCAGAGTTACATCATTTTGTGATGTCATTTTCCTGTTTAAATTGCTTATATCAACCTGATCTCAGCCTTTTCAGTTTTCCTAAACTTGCTTCATCTTGACATGCTCTAGTTCCTCCTAATCTGGCAGTGGTTGACTCCCTTGACACACATCCTGGTTAGATTGTAAATGCTACATTTAGCTACATCCTCCTCGCATTTCCCACTGATAACACTATCCTATTTACATCAGTAACTTGCTTGCATTTTAAGACAACCTTGATTTGGTGGATGTCAAACCACACTCATTTCCAACTCTAACCAGTTACATTAACAATGAAATATACTTGCAGGACTTTCATAAGCCCTTCTCTTAAGTACAGTACCTCTTCCTCAACCTGTAGTAATGGACTGAATTGGTACTGGGGTAAATAGGGAATATTTTGAAACATTTTCCAGGGAATGTTGAGTCTTGAGTTGAAAGAAACACATTAAAAAAGGGAAAGTGGAGAAGGAAAATAGGGTGTTTAATAGTTCAGTTTCCTTAGAAAAGCCACTTTGTGTAGACACACTCCCAGGGTAGACCTAGAAAAAGCAGATGGCAAACCACTTCTGTATACTCTATGCCAAGAAAACTTTGCAAAGGGTCAACATAAGTCAGAAATGACTTGATGTAATAATAATAGTTGTTGTTCTTAAGGAGATGCATATGAGGAAGCTAAAGTATTTTCCCTCCAAAAACTTCCCTGTAAATGCAAGAAGGCAAAAGGGGGTGCTTTTTCCTCTTCCCAGTCTCCAGAGACCACCTCGCAAAGTTTCAGTTTGGGGCTGGCAGCTAGCCGCACTCATGAATCCTTTACATGTTTAGAATGGTGGGAGAGGAAAATAGGCTCTTCTCTGCATGTCAGACAGTGCATAAGGTTCCCTTTCCAGGCAAACTGGATTTATGAGCAGGAGAACCAATAGGGTTGATATACACTGCAGTAGGTGAGATTCTATTGAAAAAAAATCATAAATAGTTCTAACTTCAGAAACATTTGCATCTTTATATACAGTAGTGTTAGTTGTGGTAGTTTCATAAAATAAAGAATACCAACTCTTTCATTTACTCAATACTAGGAGGTCTCTAGAATGGTGGCAACTGCCTGAATCCTTTGAAAAGAATTGAAATAGACCTTGTAGTGGGCTTTTTCTCCATCACAACAAAGAATAAAATTAAGACAGGGTTTAAATGTTTGAATTGCCTTCTTTAAATAACTGGAGAAAGATTTACCCTGAAGCCACTATTTCTTCATTGCTAGAGCCAGTACATGTGAACAGGGTGAACAGTTCATTCCTAAAGCACAGTGGGCTCTGGGCTAATCAAATAATAAACTTGCCTGAGGCAATTATTGTACTTTTGGAGGAGGTAGCCATGTTAGTCTGTGCAAGCATATTGTTTCTAGGGAAATGATGGACATGAAATAATAAAAATGTATATTCGCAATTGTCCTGAGTGATCTCTGCAGTTTGTTTTTTTGTTTTGTAAATCTCGAAAATATTATCTTGTTTCTAAAAGCTGCTTCCTTAAAACTGCATCGTTCTTCATAGGACTCTTTCAAGATTCTCACAAGTTCACAGACAAATCTGCTATAGAGAAGGCGCTGCCGAATGAACAGATTGGCTTTCCCAGATGAGAACACTGTCAGAAATAATGAAAACTATATTTATATCAGAGGTAAAAGTATGACATTTTTAAAAGATCCTGTAACATAACATTTTTAAACTCCTAATTCCTGTACATACATACTGAGGTGACTTCACCTTTTTATTTCTTTATGGGTTTTAAAAATAAACTCTTCCTAATTTATAAATCCTGCTTACTATTTTATGTAGCAGTCATAAGCTATTACACCCATGTGTATTACTGTACTGGTCAGTGCTATGACACATGGGTTATGTAATGTAAAAAAATACAAAAGTGTTTTCAAAAAAATATGTATGTTCAAAGGCAATGTGAAATAATGAACTTAGCTTTGGCAGAGTTAGAGCAATGGTGTAAAAAGGAACACTGGCTATGTCCCTAAGTTAGTGATAAGAACAATCCAAGAGAGAAAGAGTCCTTTTTCACAAAGTTTAAATAGCAAGCCCACATTTAATGTAGAGGTTTAGTAGCTGTTGTTTGGGTGGCGACACACATTGGTAGTGAAGATACGTGAGCACTGCACATGCTATCACAGAAATCTTGTAACTGGAGAAGAGATCCCATAGGAGTTGATGGAATTGTGCGGCATCTTCGTAAGCACATATTATTTTTATACTTCACACAGTTGCACAAAATTCACATGAATCAATGAGGACGACATACACTCCTTCCTGCTATGGCCTGTTAGTTCATGCTACCTAGAGCTAGGAAGACCACAATAAGTCAGAATCAACTTGATGGCACATTATTATTATAGCTGTGACTGAATAGCACAGTAGGTTGGAACACCTGGCTGCAGAGCCAAGGATTTAGAGTTTGATTCCCCACTGTGCTTCCTGGAAGAAGAGTCAGTTTGTGTGGTCTTTGGGCATAGTCCCAGAGTGCCATTAGAAGAAAGGGGCAGTTAAACCATTCTGAGTACTTTATACTCAACCTATGTCTTTAATGCAGGGGTGGGGAACTGTGGCCCTCCAGATGTTCTCAGACTCCCACCTGGGCTATGCCAGCTAGGTGTGCTTGGAATTTACAGTCCAGCAGCATCCTGAGGTTGATGGTTCTCCACAACTGTGTTAATGGATTTGAGGGAACTCAGATGCTGTGGTGCAAAGGTGGGAATCATGTAGTCCATAGAACATATAAGGTCTCAATATTATTACTGTTACTTGGTCTCCCAGAACCCTCTCCCAGTTTTTCCAAATAATGTCTTTGGATGGTTGTTGGCCGTGTTCTGAAGGTTGTTCTTCCTGACATTTCGCCAGTCTCTGTGGCCGGCATCTTCAGAGGACTGGAGTAGGAACTCTATCCATGCTGTGTCAACCCACAACAACCATCAGATCCCAGCCATGAAAGCCTTCAAGAATACAATGTCTTTGGATTTTCCCCCTAAATCAGAGGGTTTATGCCACTAGGGAGTGCAAGTCACCTCTAAAACAGGTATCCCCCCCCAAATATCCCAGTTATGATCAGACGATATAATGTGTGGGTTTTCCCCCCACCTCCATATGGAGGAACTGTTGTGGCCCATGCTAGAGCTAGAAATATAGCACCCACACTCCCAAGCTTGCCCATTTATGCTCCTAATGCTTTGTTTAAGTACATTTAGATCCCAGATGCTATATGGCTCTATATGTAATGTATGTTGTTTTTCTAAGGGCCACACAGCTGCAAAGAGAATTACAAGCCAAATCAGTGTTTTGCAGCATGACGTTAACCACATACATAGTTCAGTTCATGCCGGGGAAAAGATGTACAAAACACTACACTTTGGTACCTTCTCTTTTGCAGATGTGGCAAACAATTTGTTCAAAGGCTGGCAATGTTAGATAGCTGGTTCTACATCCATTCTGCCAGTGTATCCTGGTTCACTGATATCATTGACCTCACAACAACTTATATCATGGATCTCCAACAACTTATGAATGGTTTTAGCAAGGCTTGCCAAGATTTTGGATTAACAATCTGCCTGAAGAAAACACAAGTCATGGGCCAGGGCGTGGACTCACCTCCCTCTACTACCATCTCTAAACAAGAACAGGAGGTTGTTCATGATTTCATGTACCTTGGCTCAATGATCTCTGACACTCTCTTTCTAGATGTTGTGCTGGATAAACACATTGGCAAAGCAGCTACCACGTTCTCTAGACTCACAAAGACAGTATGGCTTAATAAGATGACGGCATATACCAAGATCTAGGTCTTTAGAGCCTGTGTCCTGAGTACACTCCTGTACTGCAGTAGGTGCTGGACCCTTTGTGCACAGCAGGAGGAAGCTGAACACATTCCATTTGCATTGTCTCCAACACATTTTTGGTATCACCTGGCAGGACAAAGTTCCAAATAGAGTAGTCCTAGAATGAGCTGGAATTGTTAGCATGTGTGCATTACTGAAACAGCAACGTCTATGTTGGCTTGGACATATCATGAGAATGGCTGATGGTCAGATTCCAAAAGATCTCCTGTATGGAGAATTAGTGCAGGGAAAGCACCACAGAGGGAGACCACAGCTGCGATACAAGGATATCTGCAAGCAGGATCTGAAGACCTTAGGAATGGACCTCAACAGATGGGAAACCTTGACCTCTGAGCGTTCAGTCTGGAGGCAGGCGTGTGGGGGTACCATTCCCAAGGTTGCTAAGCCACATGGGTGTTGTAGTGAGGGAAAACTCTCCTAGCATCCTGTGGCTGCTTCTGAGGGGAGGAGCTGCCACCATTCCTCCTCTTTCTCATTATCATAGAGAGCTTGCTATAGAGGCCTTTCCTTAGGCCAGTCAGAGGGCTTGATTAATTGCCTTTCTCCAGATCAACCCTAATAACATGATGTAACCATTGTCCTATCTGGACCCTGTCTACTATCTGTAATGCAGTCACTACCTGTGACCTTGTAATGTTAATAAAAGGACAGTCTCCTGGGGGCAGGGCAGAAGAGACGGACAGGAGACAGAGACCGAGAGAGGAAGAGTGGCCCACCAGGAGTGCTGCTGGCAGACATCCATCTGTGTGTGTTCCTGACTTCTTTAATCTATTGCTAAGAGACTCTTTGCTATCCATTATCTGGTGATCACCACAAAGCCCATCAGCCTGCTCATTGCCTGGACCCAACACAGGCGGTGCAGCATGACCTCTCCCAATTTGAAGAAATATGTTTTTTTCAGATATGTTGCTGGCCTGGAACTTCCATTGGCCCTAGCCAGCATACAAATGGAGAGAACTGCTGGAAGCATAAGGAAACACACGTTTCCATTCATGAAATGGAAATAGACAGTTTCAAGGTCTCATACCCACAGGGCCAAATAGCTTAAAGGAAAGCTATTTGGCTCGGGGGGCATGATGCCTTCAAACTATTTGTGGCTGGTAAACTGGCCTCTAGTAATGTAGGTTAGTCTATCCAGTTATTCTACCCATTGTATTCTTGTAGTTCAAGAGCCACTTCTCAGTAAACTCTGGGCCTTGTAATGGGTATGATCTATGTATTTAAAATTAGTGAGGGTACAGAGGATTCCTGTAGAATGTGTGCTTCTGTGGTTGCATTTGTACATTGCTTTTATAAATCTGTGGCATGAATTAAGAATAGTTTTAACAGCTTGAATGTTTTAAGGCTAAGAATGTGACCTGGAATAGATTTAGAAGCAATGCTGTAGTTTTTCTCCCCCTGATTAATACAGTTAAAATCTGGGCTTCTTTACAGGCAGACAAGCAACAGAGAAAATGGATGTTATAGGGCTTTTGGCTGGACTGATTGCAATTGGAGTTCTGTTAGTTATAACTGGATTACTTATTTGTTACCTGTGTCAGAAAAGATGCAAGCCAAGACATCTGCCAGGGTAAGGAATTAAATATTGTATTTATCAACCCTATTTTCACTGAGTTCAGAGCTGGCAAACTGCTAGATTGAGGTGTGTATGGGTGGATGTACATGTATATGTTTGAGTGTTGATTCAATCTGTCTGTTGTGCCCTGTCTGGACTTACACTGGGCCTGATTTATAATTGTGTGCGTGTGTGTGTATGTATAAATATCTGAGCAGAGTATAACATACTAAATGATCTACTGACTTCTAAGTTAAATAGTGAACCTTTTGAAACTAATATATTTGAATAATATTGTTGTGCTTTATTTTGGAAGTCTTTGACATGTAATTTGCATATAAGCAGACATAGTTTGATTTTGCTACCCAATCTCAAATAGTACAATACATCATTTCAAAAGTCTCTGCGTCTTATGGAGTGAAGAAAACAGATTATATTTTCCTGTTTTCTTCTCCTAAAAAATTGGTGCGTCTTATGGAAAGGTGTGTCTTATGGAGCAAAAAATACGGTAGTTTGATTTTGCTACCCAGTCTCAAATAGTACAGTACATCATTTCAATGGATATTAAGGATTCAAAATGGTTAGGAGAGCCTGAGAGAACTTCCATATGGAAATCAACAAAGTGACTTTTCGATGAGCAACACTAACTGCTAGAAGTTAAGGATAATATAAACAGCTAAATACAATATGGAGTAAGTCATAAGACTGTCTAGAATTAGATTGTATCCATAATGTGGATGTTTTTAGAACATGCTGCTATTTAAATATGTTGCTGATTTATGTCTGCTTGCTAATGATACCATTTTAAATGTGACAAAACATTGTGGCTTTAAAAATGTGAAAATACTTGTGGTACAATGTCTTTGGTCACTTAGGAGAGCATGAGTAAGCTTCTCAGAAACCTGCCCCTGCATGTTAAGCAACAACATGCTATTGACACCCCACAGACTCTTTTCCCCCCTAAACAGGTATAATTTAAAGTTAGCAAATGATTTTGGATGCAATACTCCAAATTAGCCACTGGAAACCCTTCAAATTATAGTGTCTACTTCTTTTTTCAACTTCTCTAACGTCTGCAAGTAACCTTTCCAGTTATTCAGGCTAGAAGATCATCCATGTATCCTGCACTGTTCTCATAACAAAAGGGATTCAGTGTAGATAAACCTCAGCGCTTCCCCCCCCACCCAGATTGGATGAATGTTTGACAGTAGGTATTCTCCCTCTTTGCAGAAGGAGCTATTGTCTTGGCTTCTCTTTTGCGCCACTCCTTGCTGCCAAACCTAACATTTCACATTGGGCAAGAAGACCAAAATGGCTTTCCCAGGATATGTTATGACAGTACTCTTGGTACAGAGGATTTTTGCTTGCTTCTGCTGAAAAAATCGTGTTTCAGAGTATGAGCAGGGAAGGCATCTTAATCTGAAATAGACACCCTGTGATAGTACCTTAAGGTGTTATAACCTGTTGTCGTGCAGGAAGGTATAATTAAATAACTACAGGGCTGGAAGGGACCCTATGGATCATCAGGTCCAGCCCCTTTCAAGGAGGCACAGTGGGGAATTGAACTCCCAACCTTTGGCTCTGCAGCCAGAGACCTAATCCACTGAGCTATCCAGCAATTCATGAAAGTGCCCTATGGACTGTATACCTGTTGTTGTGACATCAGCACACAAGGCCCAGGCCTCTCTTCTTATTTTGTGAGATTTGCCATTTTTTGGTTATTCCATTTAATTATCTTTCTAAGTTGTATGTTCCTACTGTCTAGTGTTAATCTATATGCCTTAGTAAAATAAAGCTGCTTCCTTATAAAACATCAAATAGCTTGGGGCCAAAAAATTAGCTTCCTCCCATGTGAAGCTGTCTATAGAAGCATTTATTTTGAAGCCCTCTGTGGCATTACCTTACCTGTGAAAAGCATTTTAACACTGGCTCCTTAATTAATTATGTGGGCTGTTATAATCTTTGTTTTGGTTCCATTCAAGAAAAATGTTTTAGGAGTTTAAATGTACTGGCCTAACACTCAGGTTTTTAAATTTATCTCTCCCCAGGGATAATATCCAGCAAGGATAATCAACATCCTTTCCATCCTGTGGTGATCAATATATTTGTTTCATGGACAAATACATAGTCACCGTGTTGATTTCAATAGTCATGAAATGCCACTGAATTTTAGTCTTGGTTTTTGGATCTTGCACATGAGTATTTTGCTAAGAGTTGGGTTCATATGCCAAATTGGTGAATAAAACTTGTTTGGCAGATGGATTAGTGAACGGAATCTAAAAGCTAGAAAGATTCCTGATAAGGCACCAGCTAATAAACAGGATGTACGCCATAAGGCCCCAGGTGGTTTTGGAATCTTGTCTAGGAAAACATTTGATCTGGACTGTTGTATTTATCTACCACAATCTCAGAAGTCTATATAACATTTGTGTGAAAATTTGTGCGATTCAAATTGCATTTTTATTTTAGGAACCCAAGCTGCAGGAGGCACAGCTCTTCCATCTTCCAAAGACATGAAGAATTTCCCTTAAATCATCTCTCTCCACATACGGAACAGATAGGACTGCCAACTTATGAACAAGCAGTGGCTCTAAGAGGCAATTATGATGTGCCACCCCCACCATATCCAGGTTTTAAAATGTTCAAGAAGTCTTTCTCACTTCCTGCTCCTTAATTAATAAGCATGGCTCGTGGAAAGGTCGAGAGTTACATTTGACTGAAAGAAGATGTACAGTATAGCTGAAATGCTGAAGCATTGTGATCACTTTCAGGAACCTTTCACAGTATGAAAGGGATATAGCTCTTCGGTGTGCCTGGGAGGAAGTGGAGTGTGTCAGGTGAACAAGGAAGCTATCCTTCTGCAATGTTCTGATGGCTAAAGATGAAAGGCTCCTTTTGTTACGCTTCTCATTGAGGTGCTAAGAATTGTATTGAACTTGGATCTCATGCATTTTGAGCCACTCAGTGAATTGATATGCCACTTTTCCTGTTGCTCATGAACTGCCAGGTTTCATTTTCAGTTTTAAAATGTTGCAGTTGTTGGTGCTGCTTTTATAAAGAACAAATAGTAATATGGGAAAAAAATGGAATCGTTGCTCTTACTGTTTTAACTTCTGATAAAAGGAAGACTTAATGTATTAACATTTCATGCTTCAACTACTCTGAACAATATTTAAACCATGCTCTCTTCATTTGTTCCTTATTACCCATTCTGTTATGAGCCTTACTGTGTATTGCCCATGTTTTCTGTCAAACTTGCGTTTAGCTCAGCACTCTGTTTCCACAGCAGCTAAGCAAATATTCCTGGGATGCTCCTTAGAAGGGAATGATCAGGAGGTCTACTCCTTTTTTTTTTTTTTAACTTATCCTTAACTTCTGGTAACCTGGAGTACTGTGAATTAGCCTTGAGAAATATGGATATTTACCTAAAGGTAAACTCAAAAGGTTTCATTCAGTGTCTCTTTAACTGAGATTGGAGAAGCCAATACACTTGTGAGGTAATGGCTTTTGAAACCCTTGACCCCCAATGCTACTGTAGCAAATAAATTCCAGCTTGTAATGTTGGTGGAAGGGAACAAATAAAAAGGAAAGTAAAACTGTTTAATGCAAAAATGTCAGATTCTCTGTATCTGAAATTTATTTATAAGAGAAAATATAACCCAAACACAGAGAATTTTGTCCATTGACTATAGACATAGAGAGAAAAATCTAATGTTGCCATGCATATCTAGGTTGAAGAAATAATTTTTAAAAAATTTATGATTCTTTTTTATATGGCATAATTCTTGATTATAGGAAATACTATTAATAAATGTTTAAAATTTTAACTTGTTCACCTATTTGTCAGTTCTGTGTTCTGCACATTGTTCTCGCAACATATTTTTAAAATTCAGGTAGTATCCTTGGTGCAGGGATACACATACAAATTAGCCTTTTTTTTTCCTTCTTACTTTGAAGAGCAGCTCCCATGGGCCATATTTAAAGTACAAGAATTAAATGCATTTGTTCCAAAATGCTTTGTAAGGCCTTTCTGGAATTCTGCAGGCTAATTGTTTCCCTCAATCTCCTGTGGGTGGGTGTGTAGGTGTGTGTGTGTGTAGATGTATATATTAGAGATGGGGGTATTCATATACGAATATCCCTGTGCAGCTGGAGTTAACAAAGGTTCGGCCCCATCCATTAGGTTGGTGTGTGTGTAGATGTATATATTAGAGATGGGGGTATTCATATACGAATATCCCTGTGCAGCTGGAGTTAACAAAGGTTCGGCCCCATCCACTCACACAATTGCTGCCGCCACCAGCCTCACTTGTCCGTTTAATCACTCCTGGAATACCTTCCGGGTCAGCTAGCTGCTTGTGGCACAAGGAGGGAGGACGAGTCTCCCTGCAAGGCTTCCGAGTAGTTAGCCAAGCAGCGCTCCAGAGAGACTGAAAGAGAGGAGCCATTGGTGGACGTACTAGTGGATGGTTCGGCCCCAGGGGCCAGACCATTGTTAACTCCAGCTGCGTGGGGATCATTCATTAGGCATCCTTCAGTCTCAAAAGACTATGGTAATGTGCTCTGAATAGTCTTGGAACAGCGTCTAGTGTGGCTGAGGAGGCCAATTTGAGAGTGACTATCCCTTGCACACTGAAGACAAATACAGTCTGTTCCCTGTCCAGCTCCCTGATTTTGTTGCTTTTGTGACTTCCTCTTTGCCTCGGCCTGCTAGACAAGGGTCTCTTCAAATCGGGAGAAGCCCATGATGCACTGCCTGCCTCCAGGCTGAACGCTCAGATGTCAGGGTTTCCCATCTGTTGAGGTCCATTCCTAAGGCCTTCAGAATAACCCCACCTCATATATCTTCTACACTAGGATCCAGAATAATTTTATCATCTAAAGTATGAGAAGCACATCCTGCTCCAAACTGCAGCTGCCATTAGCCATCCTCTAAGCAATATGAGCATAATCAGGGTCTGTGAGAATAGTTTGACTGTAGAGCAGTCTTTCTCACAAACAGGTGTTGTGGCTGAGGTGTTGCTGCTGTGGCACAAGATACCTCGCAGAGCGCCCAGCTTACAATGCCTTACCAAGCTGACCTCTGAAAGTTAACCTTTGTAGCTTGCCCATGTCTGTAGAGCTGCACATATGTCATTTTTGACAGAGGGCTTCTTTTAAGTATACTAGGAGTCTTCCTGTTGAATGGAGTGATTCACTGCCCTATGGGCATGCCACTTGGAGTGGATGCTTGTTCCCTTGGTTAATGAATTAGCTCTGTCTTCTACTTGTGAGTTGTGTATCAAAATTCTGAGCTATTTACAGCTATGGGACAAAGTCAGCTTGAAAATAAAAAATTGCATTCTATCTTGTGAGGGTTCAAATTTTAAACCTTCGGTCTCCACAACAAATTCAGGAGTCTTTTTAAACTTTGAACCAGGGGAAAAGTTTATTGCAATATTTCACAAGAAATCAGTGTCCAAACAATTGTTCCATAACTTGTCACCTGTCACCAACAGGTCAGACGGGTACCCAAGCGTCATTCAAAAAGGGATTGGAATCATTGTTGTTCCATGGGCCTGACCACTCGGTTGTCGCATCTTCCTTCAAAACCTCTCTGACCTCTCCTTCCAGTAGGGTAACGGCCTCATTCTCTGTGGGGTTGATCTACCCGGCATCTCTTGTTGAGAAGGTCACCCAGGGTCCTTCCACAATCCTCTCCTCCTCATCTCCTCTACCCTCCATGTCAATCTCTCTCTTTCTCTTTCCACCTTCTCCTTTTCCTCCCTCAACCTCCTTCGTCACTCCCAGGCTTCGGCCTCATTCCAATATGATGGTCAATGGGGAATCTCTCTCCTGCGCCAGTAATCCGCTTCCTCTTTAGGTACCCACAGACACTCCCATTCTCCGGTCCATGGGTCCTGCAACCACACCCATTCCCAACCTGGCAGCAATGGGCTTTCTCCCCTTTTTATCTCCGCTGTCCCCACCTCAATCTCCACCCTCTTTGTTCTTCCTATTCCCACCAAATCCTCTGTTTCAACGGCTGCCTTTAACCCACGCAATTCCTTCTCCAAGTCCCAGGTGTCGGTACCCTGTTGTTCTCTTCTGCGGGGAACTGAGGTGGGTCTGGCTTTCCCTCTCAATAGTTTGTGGGAGGGATGGCACTCCAGCGAGAGACTTTCTCTCGTCCCCAGTCTCACAATCTTCACATCTGCCACAGAGATCCCTGCATTTTTGTGAGATACAGGAACAAGGTATTTCACTTGCACATACATGGCCTTAAGGATCAATTCAGTGCTCTGGCTCCAGACTATATAATCCTTTCTGCTCTCTCCCATAGGTTCATGACATCAGGATCAAAGAGACTTAAAATCATAGAACAATGGAGTTGGAAGGGGCCTATAAGGCCATCAAATCCAACCCCCAGTTCAATGCAGGAATTCAAATTAATTTTTCTTGAATGCTTCCAGCATTGGAGTGCTCACCCCACTCCAAGGTAATTGGTTCCATTGTCTTATTTCTTGTAACTTGAGACAGTATTATTCCAGTGTGTTTCTCTCTTCTGAAACTCATGATCAAATGTTAGAACATTTTATTCATATCATACATAGTGGCACTGTTATATTGCAGAATCTGAAGTTAATGCATTATGTTTTCACTGAGTAACATATGTGCTAAGAATGTGACCTTTTTTGTTTAAAAGCATGTGCTTTAATGCAGTGGTCCCCAACTTTGGGCCTCCGTATGTTCTTTGACTACAACTTCCAGAAGCCTTCACCACCACCTCTGCTGGCCAGGATTTCTGGGAGTTGAAGTCCAAGAACATCTGGAGGCCCAAGGTTGGGGACCATGGCTTTAATGTACACAATGGTGCCACACATATCTGAAGTGCCTAAGGCTCCCCCAGGATTCCTATCCTATATACAGTGGTATTATCAGGTGAAGGTAGCCACTGTTGACAAGTCTGTTTCAAGAACTAGATTTCTTTGAAAGATTTTCAAGAAAGAACAAAGCCTTGAAGGCCAGCTCACAAGATGCAGATGTACGTGGGTAGAAATTATAAGCCCAAACTAAGGCATTCTACTGGCTTTCGGAACAACTAAATCTCATAACTACCTATGGCACCAAACTCTGGATTCCAGCATACATTACCTTTTGACTGTTCATCTGTTTTTGATGTGGGCTTTATCTAAGGATCCTGCAATCAGCTTCCACCTACTTTTTGACCATGCTGCTCACTTTGATACCAGCTTCTCCTTAAGACCCTGTGTTTCTGGACTGTCACAATACCCACTGGACATTGTGAGTCTCGACCTGCTTATCATCATACAGCATACCCTCGCCTTTGCCTTTGAGCAGATGTGTCCAATTATGAGTAATAATGCTGTGCAGTTGTGTTGCTTGGATCTTACCCTCCATGCACCTACACTTTCCCTTGAGATCTATACCAAGAATGAATGAGCATATGTAACAGCTGGGTAAATTGAATGTCTTAATTCCATGGAAATGTGTAAACTGTAGCATCATAGGCTTATTATAATAGCAAGGTTGAAGCAAATACTGAAGAGCAGTACAGTACTTCCAGTACCTGCTTATGTCACAATGTCCATGATATTATGTATTTCTCCACTCTTAATCCAAATAAGTAGTCTAAAGTTTTCTATCTACCCAAGAACTTTTGTAAGCCATTTCACATTTTACCAGGCATTCTACCTGCGTTCAGCAGCATGTCCCCCTCAGAGATGCAGCCAATCCCAGTTTCTAGTGCAAATTGTCACATTTTCATTGACATGCTTTAAAAACCTTAGGTGTGCTCTTCAAATCCTGTGATATGTGATGAACACTTAAACCCCAGGTGGAATGGATGGTGGGGTAAATTGCCAGTGTACCGTGCTAAGTTCACCTTGCACGTTACATTTTTCCGGTGTGTTTTCAGGAAACATTTCACTTGTACAGAGAAAGAGTAAAGTATTTGCCACGACACTACTACCAATTAAAGTTGAAGAATTCCAACGAGGCATTTCATCCACATGCGAGTACAGTACTTGGGAGCTGCAAGGGGAAGGCAGCTCCCATCCTCCTCACTCGGAGGTTTGAGGCAACCCCTCATTCCTCCAGCCTGCCTTCCAGCTCCGCGCCTTTTCTCCGCCGTGCTTCTACAGGTTGCGCTCCCTCCCTCCCTCCGTCCCCACCCCTACTCCTTCCTTTGCAAGGGCCGCGACTTGCTGCTCGTCAGCGGCGGCGGCTACAGGAAGAGCAGCCAACAAGCCACGGCAGACCGCTGCTTCTTCCCGTGCCCTGGAGACCGTCCGTCCCAGCAAACGGTGGAGGAGGAGTGGGAGGAGCATCCTGGAAAGCCGCCGCGGCTGCTGCAGCAGCCCGACATGGATCCCCGGCGAGGCTTCTGCTTGCAGCCCCTGCGGCCAACTCGGCCGCTGTGCGCGGGAGCGCCCCTGAGTCCCAGCTTCCCGCCCGCCCCTCGCAGCGGAAATTGAAGGGAGGACTGGCTTGGGGGGGGGGGGGGGGGGGCGC